TTATCTACACCCCAGATTCATAAGCCCCCAGAACAAGGTTTGTAAAAAGATTCAATGAAAAGGGTCAGTTGCACAAAATCTGTAATAAGAGATCCGAGAGTAACAAAGATATTGCACATTCCCTGGGGTTTAAATGAGTGACCCCCAGTGTTTTTAGTATGATGCTGTATCGCTGAGCTAAACACCGTTTAAAGATGTATATCTGTAGTTGCCTAAAAGAACTTTTCACACCATTTGGCTTCAGCTAGGGAGATAACTGCACAGTCTGTGCTATTTTATTTAACCACTGAATCATATGCAAGGATACTACACCAAGGGAGATATTCATGTGGTCTGTTTAAAATCTCAGGAAATATAACAGGAAACTATATAAAATCAACCGTGAATGAATTTATTACATGACAAATGATCTATCGTTTTAGACACAGTGAGGTGGCCTGTACAATCTGTCGCAAAATAATGAAATTTTCTAAGAATACTATTGTAACACTCTTAACAGTTGTCAGCATATGTCAATTTTTATTGGTCAGTGTAGTTATGACCATCAATCAACACATTGTCTTAATAGATGTGATCACCTGTCAAATCAACCCAATTGTCAACAAAATGTGATCACTTACCAACACAATTCATCGTCAACAAAGACATGATCACCTGTCATCACAAACAATCGTCAACAAAAATGTGATCATATGTCAATACAATCCATCGTCACCAAAAATGTGATCATGTGTCAATACAATCCATCGTCAACAAAAATGTGATCATATGTCAATACAATCCATCGTCAACAAAAATGTGATCATATGTCAATACAATCCATCGTCAACAAAAATGTGATCATATGTCAATACAATCCATCGTCAACAAAAATGTGATCATATGTCAATACAATCCATCGTCAACAAAAATGTGATCATATGTCAATACAATCCATCGTCAACAAAAATGTGATCATATGTCAATACAATCCATCGTCAACAAAAATGTGATCATATGTCAATACAATCCATCGTCAACAAAAATGTGATCATATGTCAATACAATCCATCGTCAACAAAAATGTGATCATATGTCAATACAATCCATCGTCAACAAAAATGTGATCATATGTCAATACAATCCATCGTCAACAAAAATGTGATCATATGTCAATACAATCCATCGTCAACAAAAATGTGATCATATGTCAATACAATCCATCGTCAACAAAAATGTGATCATATGTCAATACAATCCATCGTCAACAAAAATGTGATCATATGTCAATACAATCCATCGTCAACAAAAATGTGATCATATGTCAATACAATCCATCGTCAACAAAAATGTGATCATATGTCAATACAATCCATCGTCAACAAAAATGTGATCATATGTCAATACAATCCATCGTCAACAAAAATGTGATCATATGTCAATACAATCCATCGTCAACAAAAATGTGATCATATGTCAATACAATCCATCGTCAACAAAAATGTGATCATATGTCAATACAATCCATCGTCAACAAAAATGTGATCATATGTCAATACAATCCATCGTCAACAAAAATGTGATCATATGTCAATACAATCCATCGTCAACAAAAATGTGATCATATGTCAATACAATCCATCGTCAACAAAAATGTGATCATATGTCAATACAATCCATCGTCAACAAAAATGTGATCATATGTCAATACAATCCATCGTCAACAAAAATGTGATCATATGTCAATACAATCCATCGTCAACAAAAATGTGATCATATGTCAATACAATCCATCGTCAACAAAAATGTGATCATATGTCAATACAATCCATCGTCAACAAAAATGTGATCATATGTCAATACAATCCATCGTCAACAAAAATGTGATCATATGTCAATACAATCCATCGTCAACAAAAATGTGATCATATGTCAATACAATCCATCGTCAACAAAAATGTGATCATATGTCAATACAATCCATCGTCAACAAAAATGTGATCATATGTCAATACAATCCATCGTCAACAAAAATGTGATCATATGTCAATACAATCCATCGTCAACAAAAATGTGATCATATGTCAATACAATCCATCGTCAACAAAAATGTGATCATATGTCAATACAATCCATCGTCAACAAAAATGTGATCATATGTCAATACAATCCATCGTCAACAAAAATGTGATCATATGTCAATACAATCCATCGTCAACAAAAATGTGATCATATGTCAATACAATCCATCGTCAACAAAAATGTGATCATATGTCAATACAATCCATCGTCAACAAAAATGTGATCATATGTCAATACAATCCATCGTCAACAAAAATGTGATCATATGTCAATACAATCCATCGTCAACAAAAATGTGATCATATGTCAATACAATCCATCGTCAACAAAAATGTGATCATATGTCAATACAATCCATCGTCAACAAAAATGTGATCATATGTCAATACAATCCATCGTCAACAAAAATGTGATCATATGTCAATACAATCCATCGTCAACAAAAATGTGATCATATGTCAATACAATCCATCGTCAACAAAAATGTGATCATATGTCAATACAATCCATCGTCAACAAAAATGTGATCATATGTCAATACAATCCATCGTCAACAAAAATGTGATCATATGTCAATACAATCCATCGTCAACAAAAATGTGATCATATGTCAATACAATCCATCGTCAACAAAAATGTGATCATATGTCAATACAATCCATCGTCAACAAAAATGTGATCATATGTCAATACAATCCATCGTCAACAAAAATGTGATCATATGTCAATACAATCCATCGTCAACAAAAATGTGATCATATGTCAATACAATCCATCGTCAACAAAAATGTGATCATATGTCAATACAATCCATCGTCAACAAAAATGTGATCATATGTCAATACAATCCATCGTCAACAAAAATGTGATCATATGTCAATACAATCCATCGTCAACAAAAATGTGATCATGTGTCAATACAATCCATCGCCAACAAAAATGTGATAATCTGTCAACTCAACCAACACTCACCATATTAGTTATCATATGACAATTCATCCCACGGTCAACCCAATCTTTATTATCTGTAAACACATCTTTCAACAGTTGTCAACAAGTATCATCTCACCTGAATGCAATGCCACCAGTTGTACAGGTAGCAATCTCAACAAAGCATATTCAAATAGAGTTGTTTTTATCAATCAACAAAACCTGCAGTCAACTGTAAAATGATACGTCAATACATATCCCAGCTTTCATAATCTATCAACAATTTAATATTCACTGTCATTGCAAATATTATGTCAATAGCATGCAATGTCAACACAGTTGTCGTAATCCGTCAACAAAATACCCACTTTCAACAGTTGTTATATTCTGTAAACAAAACGACTGTCAATAGTGATGTTAAAAAGTCAACAAAACTCACTGTCAACAGTTCTATGGTCAAAGTTAGTCAAGCGTTGATGCATGGTCACATGATAATAAGTCCAGTTTTGATCACATTACTTTTACATGTTGATAACGGTATTGGTTTGAATCACAATGTTGGTCACAAATGATGATTACAACAATGTAAACAACAGCAGTGATACAAATAGTTACCTTGGATGAACACATAACAGGTATTACACATACATTACAGAAATAAGTTTAAGTCTGAAAAAGTTGATTTCCCATAAAATCAAGCCAATTCCAATAACACAGCATCTAATTGTAATATCTTGATACTCAATTCTAGATAAACATATCAACAACTGTCAATGATGAAATATCCACAGAAGACATTCATTTCACATGTAATAAAATTGGATGAAATTTTAAAATCACTAATGAATCATACATGGCAAAAAATGAAATCTTTAATAAAATGAAGAATTGTCAAGAAATCAACAATTTTTGTCCAAGTCGTTGGATGGATGGACAGATATATATATATTACCTGGTCATTTATAACATTATCACTGAACATGTAACTAGGACAAACCACAGAGTCATACAATCTATATACAAAATGAAAGTAACACTACTTAATCAAACAATCTCTATACAAAATGAAAGTAACATTACTTAGTCATACAATTTGCAATCTATATACAAAATGAAAGTAGCAGTACTTAGTTATAAAATCTATACACAAAATGAAAGTAGCAGTACTTAGTTATAAAATCTATACACAACATGAAAGTAACAGTACTCAAAAGTGACTGTAGAACTTTACGAGATGCTATATACTTGAGCATGGTGAAAGTTTATTATGCTTGAATTGTCATCAGTAGCTGTACCACAAATCTTAACCAAAATAAATCGAAGCATCTGCATGATAAATACCGGACCAACAGTCCTGTTCTATTAATGTAACAGTGTCAGACCTGGTGTTTATACAGTACCGGCTATGTCAGTTAAAGTGCTGGAACTTTGTTTGCCATCAAAGTAACATTTATAAGATTTAAAAGTTACCAGAAAATACAAAACAAATCAATAAAATATGAATCCTGACATTGTTATATATGTTTAAAAAATAAAATGACTTTAAATATGGTAGATAAACCTTACATTTTTCTTCAATTACAGTGAATGAACATTAGTTAAATAATGTTTGAATCTGTTACATAAGCAATGCTAACTTCTCCCTCTCTTCCTCTGATATGAATCAATCTCTCAATTACCTCCATCCACGCTGGCTTAGTCCCCAAACAGTCGCTTCCTGCTGTACATCTACAGTTGTGATAACATGTGGTAAACTAGGAACCAAACAAATACCAGTCTATACAGGAACCAAACAAATACCAGTATAGACAAGAACCAAACAAATACCAGTATAGACAAGAAAAAAACAAATACCAGTATAGACAGGAACCAAACAAATACCAGTATAGACAAGAACCAAACAAATACCAGGATAGACAGGAACCAAACTAATACCAGTATAGACAGTAACCAAACAAATACCAGGATAGACATGAACCAAACAAATACCAGGATAGACAGGAACCAAACTAATACCAGTATAGACAGGACCCAAACAAATACCAGTTTAGACAGGAACTAAATAAATACCAGTATAGACAAGAACAAAACAAATAACAGTATAGACAGGAACCAGACAAATACCAGTATAGACAGGAACTAAACAAATACCAGTATAGACAAGAACCAAACAAATTCCAGTATAGACAGGAACTAAACAAATACCAGTTTAGACAGGAACTAAATAAATACCAGTATAGACAAGAACTAAACAAATACCAGTATAGACAGGAACCAAACAAATACCAGTATAGACAAGAACAAAACAAATAACAGTATAGACAGGAACCAAACAAATACCAGTATAGACAGGAACCAAACAAATACCAGTATAGACAGTAACTACATGTATTAACAGCTGTGACCAGGCATGGATATATAGGAACCAAACAAATACCAGCATATACATATATACACAGCTGTGACCAGGCATGGTAATATAGGAACCAAACAAATACCTGTAAAACAAATACCAGTATAGACAGGAACTATAAACAGCTGTGACCAGGCATGGTAATATAGGAACCGAACAAATACCAGCATATACATATATACACAGCTGTGACGTGATAAGGCAAAACAGTAACCAAATAAATACAAATATATACAAGTACGGTAATATATAAATATAATATATCTTGTTAATATATAACAATGATGACAGTATAACATGCAGGTGAGTTGACACCTTTCCAACAACAATAAGTACACACCAATTTCTGTTATATAACATGCTGTCAGATCTCCCTAATCTTGTAACATTCCCTTGACTCTTAACAAAACCTCCAGACCTGTGTATCTCTATGACAAAGCCGTATGTAGTATCTGTATGACACAGCTGTATGTGGTATCTGTATGATATAGGTGTGTGTGGTATCTGTATGACACAGCTGTATATGGTACAGCTGTGTGTGGTATATGTATGATACGGTTGTATGTGGTATCTGTATGATATAGCTGTGTGCAGTATCTGCATGATACAGCTGTATGTGGTATCTGCATGATTTAGATGTGTGTGGTATCTGTATGATACAGCTGTATGTGGTATCTGTATGATATAGCTGTATGTGGTATCTGTATGACATAGCTGTATGTGGTAACTGTATGATTCAGCTGTGTGTGGTATCTGTATGATGCAGCTCTGTGTGGTATATGTATGATAAAGATGTGTGTGGAATCAGTATGATACAGCTGTGTGTGGTATCTGTATGATATAGCTGTATGTGGTATCTGTATGACATAGCTGTATGTGGTAACTGTATGATTCAGCTGTGTGTGGTATCTGTATGATGCAGCTCTGTGTGGTAT